TAATTGATACAAGACTTTCAATATCATTTGTTTGAAGTATTGATTATATAATACTAATGTAAATAATAATATCTATATTTTAGATATTATTATTTCAAATAAATAATTTTATTAGATTATAATCAGAGGTACCCTAGAAGCTTCTTTTATGATCCCTTCCTAATCCTAAAAAAAATAAATATATTTTTTAATATTATAAAACCTTTAATTGTATAGTCTATATATATATCTTTACTATTCGAATTATTGATTAACAAAATTTAATTATCTGATTAGTATTTCTTTATTATTTACAATATAGGTAATTCTGCTCATAGAATAATCAATCTTTTATTAGAATTTACATTTCATTAATATAGAATTTATTTATTTTTAGTATTGCTATGCTCAAATTTATTTTGTGTATCATCAAAAATCAAAAGTTAGATTATCATAAAAAAAATAAAATAATAAAAATAAAAGAAACAAAAATCAACATGGAAGTAGTATACTCTTTAATAAAATATCTATCTTTTTACTTTTTTCAACTCCGATCCAATTATTTCAGATTGTGATCCTAAAACTACCTTAAAAACATCTAAAGAAATCAAAATTATTTAATGGAATCAGAGTGACCATCAATTTCAAATTCTTCTTGTTTAAATGCTTAGAAATTTCACTATTTTACTTTAGATTCACTAGTTCAAGCTAATATAACCAAAATACTTATAAATATAAATCAATATTTCCTTAGTTAAAATTTTAATCAATTTAATGACTAAGGGATCACTTTTAAATATATAAACAATTTACAAGATTTAGAAAACTATTATTTGATTATGAGATCTGAAATATATATGTAAACTATCTCAAGAAAAGATGTTTAAACTTTTATTCATCATTTTCTTCAAAGTAAAAAAATATCTTTTTAGCTTCTACATGTATTAGAGATTATATTTATACCCATTTTTAAGATGAATCTCTTAATTGTTATTAAAAATGATTCTTGATAATATAATGTTAAACATGATAATTTTGATAAATTCTAATTTAATATAATATAAAGTTCTTATCTAAGATTTAATTTTGTGAAAATATTTTATCCATGATGATTGAATGAGAGAATGATAGAAAAAAATTTGATTTCTAACCTAAATCCACCAAATTATTAATCATAATATAATACAAAATTCTTAAATTCTTTACTGTTGTTAATTCAAATCAATTATATTAATTCTAATTTTGAAAAGTCCGTAAACATGTAATTATTAATAAAAACCTATTATTGTTGTATTTCCAAATTAAATTTAATAGGATTACTTGATAATAAGATAACTGCTAACTTTTTTATTGTATAAAAATCTTTTACATAATTTTAAACTATTTATTCTCAAAGATTATCATTATTATTTTATACCAATATAAGAAATTGCATTATATGGCTATTTTCTTGAAAATTATATTGTAATTAATTATTGTCTCTATTCTTATAAATGCTCCAATACTCAAAAGCAACAGTAACAAAAGAATAATAATTAGAAATTAAAATTCATTACCGGAATTATTTGATTAAAAAATTATCATTTATAAATTTTTGTGGTTTTCAATAATTTTAAATCTCTATACTTTTTATACAAAAACTATAAACATTTTGTTTTATACTCCTAATGTTCACTAAGAATTATTAAAAATTGAAAGAGTTACTATTTTTATACTGTTTCATCTTCTTACATTTATAATTGTAAAACCAATACATGATGATGATGGATAATCTGAAATATTTTTAGCGATTATTTATTTAGATATAAAAGTTGATTTTGTTGTAAACCTTAAATGTGAAGATTTTATTTAATTTATCTTTCAATTTCTATTGAATATAGATTTTCTTAATCAAGAAAAAAATCAAAAATTGGGATAGCATTTATATTCTGATAAACAAAATTTTATGTAATTCAAAATAAAAAAACATGTTCTTGTGTTATTTTTGTTGATAAATGCTTCTTTTCTTGATAAGAATTAGAATTCTACTTTTTTGCATTCAAAAACTCTAAAGAAAGTTATGGCAAAACTGCTAGCAGCTTAATGATGAAATTATAAATAACAATTGAATATTTTTTGTCAATAGTAATATATATTTGCTCTATGATGTTTTTTATTTAAATTGCAAAAATTAATAAAAAAAAATCAAAATGCAGTAGAAAAATTTTCATCATTTTAGTCACAACAAATTTGTAAAGTGAATAAAATACTTATAATTTTTTTACACGAACTCATGAAGGTTATTATTCAAGCAGTTATAAAATGTGATTATTAATAATTAACTCATATTAAGATAAAATTTTGAATAAGTAAAATGGAAAATTATTAATTTTATAGAGTAAATCTTCGGAATATTTAACTTATCCTGATTTGTATTAAAATATGGAATTTATTAAATATTTTGATTGGTAAGGTAAATATGGACAAAAAAAGAAAAAAATAGGTAAATGGGAAGTAATTTGGAATCTGGGGGTAATTATTGATGATGGAAAATCTTAAAAAGGATCTTATACTACTAGAATGGGTTAAGGTACGCTTATGGAAACGGCCTTTAAAGCAGTACATGAGGTAAACAGGAAATCAGAATTCAAAAATAGTATAGCTGAGGTATATGAAATTGGGGAATAATTTGATGATTAAATAAAAGAACATGGAAATATATATATACAATAATAAAACAACCATTATTTATTTGTTTTTTAGCGGTGGTGGAGCATAAAATGAGTAAGCCTTGAAGAGTTCGAAGTTGGTTGAGTGATAGATTTTTGGATGGATAAAGATTTAATAATAATATGAAATATTGAGGGCTATTAGTCATGGTGGATACTATAATGAAACAAGTAATCGACTTAAGGAAGATCATTGGGTTGAAGTTTAGAATAATTTCTATGATCCTTAAGTAACTTATATAAAGTTGGTGATTGGGATATTCAACATAGGTACAAGAGAAGTATTCCATTTTATAAAATGTAAGAATATTATTTAAATTTGGACCACAATGTGGTGGTGATATGTGGAAACAAGTAATGACCATAAGTTGGGTGATTGGGTTGAAATTTCGGATAATTTCTAATTTTCTTGATTAAAGTAATTTATTGAATATCAAAATGGTAAAAAAGATGGGTGGAAATGAAAAGAGATCTTGATAAAATTTAAGGAGGAACTATAAATATGATATTTGAAGTGAAATTAATAAACAATAGTAATAATAAAACAGCTTTAAGCTTTAATTTTTTTTTGTTTGATTTTTGTGCTTTCTAAAAAATGATTGTTGCTATATTTTAGTTGCTTACTAATTTTTTTATTGGGATTTAATTTGTTGGATTTTAGATATATTTTTTTTTATTACATTTATTTTTTGTTATTTTACTCTTTGTTTTACCTTTATTAATGTAATACTTTAAAACTAATTTGCTCCTTTATCGACATTTTCGCAAAGATCCTTATGAACCTTGGCTCTCAATTTATTAATAGATTAGATTAATAACACAAAATTTAGAAAAAGAAGGTTTTTTC